AGAAGGAAGGGAAAAAACCCCCCCCCCCCCCCAGGGGATGGCCACACCGCAATCCCTTCTCCTCCATTCTCCTCCTCCATTCTCCTTCTCCATTCTCCTCTCGGGATCTTGGGCACGCACGCACACGCGCCCGGCGTGAGTTTTAAGCTACCGGTCCGGGGCGTGCACCGCGGTCGACTACGTGGGAGTCCAGCGACATAGCCATTACGCTAACTGCTGGTCCCTGCTAAGCTGTTTTTATAGGCACCAAGAATAGCAACCAGCCAAGCACAAAGGGCCCAGTGGGCACGGAGCTTACATTGTGGGCCCTTGCTCTCTGGACCCCAGCATCCCTTTCCGACCTTGGCTGACTCACGTCAGGCCCCTCTGCCACTGCCACCTGCTTCCTCTGACACCCGGGACTTCTCATGCTGCAGGCGCCCACTGCAGCTCTGAGTTCTTCACCAGCAAAGCCTTTCCAGACTCGTCAAGATGCAGAGAGTAGTCCTCTCAAGACTTGGGGCACCCCTAGAAATTGAGACCCCACCCCACCTGCCTCATCTGTATCCCGCAACCAAAGATCTGCAGCCCCTCCCCTGCCCTATGGATTGTGAGCTAAGAGCCAGGATAAGAGGCTTGGGATCGCAGCGGCGCCCCCTCACCTGGGCTGGCCCCCCTCCAGCGCACAGGAAGTGGGGAAGGAGTGCGGGGCCCCTCCTCAACCCCATCTAGGAATGTCCTGTCCCCAGGTAGGCATCCCGGTGGTGTCGCTGAAGGGGCGAGAAACGCCCCACCCCAGGGTGCTGTCACGACCAAGCCCGGAGGAATGAAACACGGGCCAGCCAGACTCGCTCTCTTGCCGGGGCAGTCCCGGCGTCGGGTGGGGTCCAGTCGGGCCTGGGCAGACCGCAGGACAGCCGGGGTGCGGGGAAACGAGATGGGGGGCGCTGCAGTCTCCAGTCCAGACAGACTGGCGTTCCAGAGCCGGGCTCTTCGGGGGTGGGGTGGGGGTGGGTTTCTGGCCGGTAGGGAAGAGGTGGGGTGAGCACGGGGAGAAGGGGAGCGAGTCGGGTGGAGTGAAGGCCCAGCCTCAAGGTCCCTGCGCCACAGGCCTCAGCACAGCACGCCCCAATCCTGCTTGCTCCCGGACCCAACCCCTTTCCTGGTGAAGCAGCCGGCAAGGCCACTTTCCTTTCTTTAGAAACCTCGCAGACACCCTCAGCTCTCCCCTCCTGCAGCCAGACTGCAGGGCGCCTCTCAGCGCTCACGTCCTTCCACCGGTCTCATCGCTGGTGTCTTGTACCCCCGCCCGCCCTGCCCCCTTCTAAACATCACACCCCTACTGCGACTGGGCTGCACCTGGGCTGCACCGTGGGGCACAGTCAAGGCCAGCCTCACCTCCAGTCGCCCGCTCTCCCAAGGGGATCCAGCCTCACCGCTTGTGCTTCTGCACCTGCAATTCCCTTTGCCAGGAATGTTCCCCCAACCCTTTCTTAGCCCTTAGAGACAGGGTAAATGTCACCGTGTTGGAGGATCTGTCCTGGCCCCCACCCCAGATTAGACACTCCCTCAGCTGAGTGTCTCTGATCCTTGTCTGGGTGGTGCTGGTGCCTGGACGTGGCCCCTTCACACAACACAGCTGCCACCCCCGCCTGACCCGGAGCTGCTTCAGGGTGTGGTCTGGCTCTGACCCTTTCTGTGCTCGGCACACCCAAAGCCTCTATAGGGCAATCATCAGAAATATGTGAATAATTAAAATTGTGAATGAGTAAATAGACGATCCTAAGAATTGGGTAGTTGCTGGGTATGTCGAAGGGGCTCGATTGCCAAGGGGTGATCTGAGAAGGTGCTTGGAGGCCACACTGAACCAGGTTAAGTGCAGGGTGGCTGGGGTTTGGGCAGTGAAAGGTCCTTGGGGAGCCCCAGGGCGGTGTGCAGCACTAATTAACAAATGCCATATCATTTTTGTTGTCAGGCCTCATGTCCGGCAGAGGGGACCTCGGTCTGCACTCAAGTTACCTCCCCTGTGGTAAAGGAGGTAGGAGATGGCAAAACAGAGTGCCGAGAGTCACAGGGTGAGCACAAGCAGCAGTGACCACACAGAGGGGGAGCCCCTTCAGGCTCCAGGGGGACGGCAGAGAGGCTTCTGAAAGAGGGAGACAAACTGGGGGTGCAGGGTCCTGAGAAGGGGTCACGGGAGACTGGGGGGTTGAGTAGGGCCAATGAATCAGGACAAGGAGTCGGACTCCATCCTGAGGGGACTGAAGAAGCCCAGAAGTGGTAGGATCTACTCCCGCGGGCCAGTGCTACTGCAGCCCAGCACACCCGGCCACGCTGCCTCACCGCCCCATCCACAAACCGCCTGGGCTGGTTCTGTGCCCCCACAGGAGAAGCACTGGATTTCAGCAGACAGGAAGTGATTCTACTAATTACGTTTGTGACTCAGAGCAAATATCTCCATTTCTTGGAACCTCAGTTTCCTCATCCATAAAATGGAGCAGTGTAGCACTATCTGCTGAGGCCATCAGGATCAGAAGAGAATGCAGCGGAAAGTGCTCTGAGCACCATTGAGTGCACATAATTCGTCCTTTATCTCCCTCCTCTTCCCCTGTTGGAGGTAGGCCTGCCGCTCCAGCTGGCGCCTGTCAGAGCCAGGACCCTGGGGCACCTCAGCCACTGCCCTATGCGAAGGAATCAGCTTGGACTGTGGGGCAGAGGGCCTTCGTGACTCAACTTCTCTCTCTAGTCACCCCTTAGTCTTTGTACCTTGGGCCACAGGGGTGCCAGGAGGATTAGCGTAAGGACTGAAGTGAGAGCTGTGCTGTGGGTAAGGTGGAGTCGGAGAAGTGGAAACTAAGTCGTATCCATTCACCTGCTCTTCCACAAGCCTTCCCGAGACATGCTCTCGTTAGCACCTTTGTCTTCACTTCCGGTGTTGCCTTCATGCACCTCCTGTCTCCCTTAGCCCAGCCAATGAAACAGTGTTGGGAGGGTACAGTTCTGGGAAGAGGTCTAGGGCAACAGGAGCCTCTTCTGGAACATCTCAACCTTGAGAAACTCCTACTCCTTTTTCTTGGGCCCCAGGCCAGTGCATCAGTTTCCACCTGAGCCATGACCAGAGCCACCAGATAAGTGAGTTCTCCTGGAAAGATGTTACCAATGCTTTATCCCTGGCCAACATGGTCCTGGGGCTCTTCTCCATCTTCTGCAGCGTCACCAGGTATGTTTGGGGCCCAGCAAGCTCTTAGCCCAGAACTAGAGGTAGTGGCATAGGGGGACTTGGGGCCATCTAGAGAGCCAGGCATTGAGGCGTGAGAATCAGCTGGGTGGTAAGGGCAGTAGCTCAGGAGTCAGGGCCGAGATCTCAGCCTCAGTTGTACCACCAACCTGCTCTGTGACAGCTAAGTCATATGCCTGAGCCTCAGTTTCTCCTTCAGGAAAAGTAGGAGCTTGCATTGTGAACTCTGCAGTTCCTTCCAGCTGTGGAAGTCTAGAGTGGTTTTATGATAGATTCAGTTCTGATGGTCATTACACAATGCTTGGGTAGGCTACTGTTCATGTTTTCTGATTCTTAAATTAGACCATATGACCTGGCAAAACATTCGAAATTAGCACTGTTCTGGAAAGTGTGAGACACATATGTAGGCCCCAAGAGTAAATTATAATCTATAAATGGACTCATATTTCAATGCCTTCCAATGCCTTTGAGAAATCAGCTTCTTAAAGATAAATCCTTTAGAATGCCAATAACATTCTTCTAACCTATTTGACTCTTAATAGTCACTGGCAAGTGACTTCTTTCCAGATCTGTTTGTTTCTTTTTCTTTGGAGAGTTTTTTGTTTTTTTTTTTTAATTTTATTTATTTATTTATTTATTTATTTATTTATTTATTTATTTATT